AGGGGGGGGGTAGTATTTGCCCACGATTGGGGGATGGGGGTCGTAAACGCATGGCCCATGGTGAGGTGGAGAGAGCGGTGATACACTGTACAACTGAAAAGAAGCTCAAAAGGGACGATGTAGATGACAATAAATAGAACTAGGCACTATCGAACTATTCCTAGGCCAAGAACTAAAAAAAATAATGCTGAAACTTTTTCCTCCTTCCTCACAAAAAAACTTCAAGACACCTCTCCCACCAACCCTCCTCATCTGGTCTAGATAAATCCCAATCCACTAATCCGCAAAATCTAGAAAAGAATCCATTGCAAAAGCTACCTATGAAACCGTAGAAATTGAATCATCAACTTCCTCACAACAAAATCAAACTCAACAAAACAAAATCATACTCAACAAAAAGAAACAATCAAAGTAATTCACAATCAAGTGGATAAGAAAAAAAACTCACTAGGCCAGCTGGGAACCGGAACTATGAATTTCTTTTGAATTTTGGCTGTTCGCGGTCAGCGCTCATACAAGCTCATTGGTGCGCGCTATTTTACGGCCTGGAGCCAATTTCAAGCCAAACACGTGAAAAGGACCCCTCATTTGAACACCCATTACTTCGTCGGAAGTGAAGCTATCGGAGAGGGGTAAGTGGGAATGAGTAGAGCTAGGTTGGCTCTTGTCATCTGAATTGAGCGATTTCAAAAAGATCCAATTCCAGGGATTTTCCCCGTTGTGATCTTCGTTGTGATCCGTCTGTGATCATTTTTGCGAACCACGAGGCGCTACGTTTTGGACGTCCATGGCAAGCTTCGTACACGGCCTTTCGTAAAGAAAAGAATTGTGCAGGAAGCTTGAAGATTTCTACTTTCCCGTAAGGCTTTGATTTTCTTCCTTGGCCTGCTATTCGGAAAAATTCCCGTTGTGATCATTTCGTGACCACCCACCCCCCCAACACGAAAAATCAGCCCCTCCGAGGCCATGAAACCTCCAGTTGGCTTGAAGACTTTGGTATGCTTCTAAAATACATGTTTTTGCAAAGAGTACCAGGAAATAGGCCATTGGGCGCCAACTGGCATCACCTCTGCAATGCGCCATGCATGGGGCTTTCACGCAGGTGTTTGGAAGGTGTAACTTCTAGATAGGGCTTCCCAATTGCAAGCAAATGTGCTCCTGCAATCAGAAAAGTCCGAGAGTGTATCTCTATTCATCGTCAGTCGTAAGCCCTTTCCATTGTTTATAAATTCATGGTGCTCTTGTGGGCGGTGATCGTAGATCCTATCATCGCCCCTTCCTCGTACGTATTGTCAGTAGCTACACCAGCGCCAGAGTGCTGGACATGCTTACGACGTACGTAGGTACTACGACCTCGCCCCCCCCCGCTCGACAGCAAAATTTTGCAAAAAAATTTTTTTGGGAAAAAATAGACAAAGTGGTAGGAGGTTGGAAAAATCTAGGGAAGAGGTAACATGGGGAGGGGGGCGTACTTGAAGGTGGAATTAGGGGGGGGGTAGTATTCTTCAGGAAATGATCACAACGCAATGGCGTGCCCTGCATCTGATTGGTTAGTGTACTGCATGTATATACCCTTAAATGTCTCGAGGTTCGCATAATCATACCTTTATGAAGACGCATACGATTGCAGAAAAAGTGAATTCTATACGATGCAGTAAAAGGGTCGATTCATGAAACCCCAGTGGTGTAGTGGTGTTATATGAGCCTGCAGATGAGGTTGGGGCTTACCAAACCCCGTATGCCTTTTCACTCCCTACTATGACAGCTGATCCATTTGCGATTATGTTTCATGCTGTTTTCAATGTGTAACTGACAGTCATCTTTTAAACTATAACTACACAATCTTTTAGAAAGAGCGTTTTTGGGGAAATTTTTTATTCTAGCTTTTTAGAAGCGCGCAGACGAAATGAACATTATTTTTTCGTTCAAGCTGACCCCAACAAAATGCAGAAAATCGCTTCGAAAAATGGCCCACTCCGATCTCGAGTAAAAGAGCCTTCTGCACCAACATAAAGAATTCCGCTAGCTACGTGAACAACATCGCTATTTCTATCAAGCTGAGGGATGAATCCGCGCGTCAATGCTTCCTTTTTTTGCAAGCTCTTGTTACTTTTTGACGTCGTTCCATAGACCTCCTTCTCCTCTACAAAAGGTGTGGTAATAGTCTCTTTGCATTATTCACGTCCTCGTGACTTTTTAGGCTCAGAAAGAACATCCCGGAGGGAAAAAGAAACATCTCGACACATGCTTTTCCTCGATTCTCTGATTTTTCTTGCGACCGGAAACTGCTGAAGCAGTCCGCAACATCTGCAAGGTATACGAAGGTGTCACAGGCGAGTCTACAGCACGGGAATGGTTCGAAAATTTCGAAAATGGTGATTTGATTTGCATTTCACGATCTGCGTATAGTGGGACCGGGAGAGTATGGTGCGCTGGAAATTGCTTGAAAGGATTGCCTCTGTCAGCAAGGAGCTCTACATAGCCTAGAAGTATCGCGTAAAAGAGGGTCAAAAAAAACTTACCTGCCACGTGTTGTATTTTCTGGTGTCCTTCTCAACAACGTCAGTTTGCTGGGAATCCTCAAAATTGGGTAATTGAACAATAGCTAGTGACTACTACCAAAAATCGACCCGGCAACAACGTAAATAAATCACTATCACAAATAAAAATGATAACAACTGAAATTTTGAATTTCAATAAGAGCAGGCAAGTAGTGAAGACTGGAGATCCGAGCTTTTAGTCCATGCTCGACGAGATATTAGGACCGAAGCACGCGAAAGATAACTTCGCGTGCTTTGGTCCTGAGCGGTCGGCTATCCGTGCCGTTGGATATCTATTATCATTGACATTCTATTTTCTGATATTTGACGATACCTTGCGATGTGGTATTCATATAAGATTCATAACCACAATTCTGTAAAGCTCTAGTGGAAGATATGATATAGGTACGTCCACTCCGCCAGATAAGTTTGTGTTTTCTTGATCAGAACTGTGTGTATATTGGCTAGTTATGTCTCAAAATCGATCCCGCACACGCCAGGCAGGCAGTGGCAAGACTGTTTCGTGCAATACTGTCGTTGTAGATTAGAGTCCTACTGACGAAGAAATTGCAGGAATGTCTATGAGTGAAATTCTCAATGCAATGATTGAGCGCAACGAACAAATTAAAGATCCAGTGATGGCCAAATTTATAAATGCTCTGGTGGCCAAATTACCTGACACTATTGCTGACGCCTTGGAGACAGATAAATGGGGGCGGAGTCTTGTCATCTCCGGGTTGTCGGAGTCAACTTCAGAGACGACGCCCTCCGGCAAGCAGCGGGACGTGGAATTAAAAGTTACAGAAGCTTTAGATATATCAGGTGTAGAATGTAGGCCAGTGGAGGTTTACCGCATGGGTAAACCCGGGGAACACACCCACGTCTCGTTAAAGTGGTTCTTCCATCGAAGAGCCACTGGATCAGTGCGTTTTCAGTCATCGCTTACGCACCTCTGCTCTGCCTAGCGTATTTGTACGCAAAAGTTTAACGCCTGCAGAGCGGACCGTGAATTTCAACTTCGACAAGAATGCAGAGCGCGTAATAAGCAACTGAACGGACGGATTTGGGTGGTTTACCGCAGCGAATTGAGGCGTTCCGAAGAACTTCCTAAATCGGGAAGGCCGGGAAACCTCTATCTCGTCACGGAACACCCCCTCTCCCGCATGAAATGTTATCCCTCCAATTCTAGAAGTCTAAGCAACAAATTGCACCACCTCCATTTTTTTTCGATTTATATCATCCTGATCTAGTCTTTATCACTAAAGCTTGGCAGTCCGCTAAAACTGATACCGAAATACTATGTGGTCGCCCTTACAGCGCTTTCCGCCTCAACCGCCGCGGAAAGAGAGGTGGTGGAGTGTACTGCATGGCCAAAAATACACTCAGTTTGACCAGAATTCCTACTCCTGTTCTAAAAGCTTAGCTTCTATGTCTTCAGGGATATGACTTGTTTACCTATTTAGTATTTAGAGCTGCACTGACATACAGACCTCCCAATTCTAGTTCTGATGACAATGAAAGTCTCAGAGACGCTCTGCTTGATGTTTGTTCCTCGGGCCAACACTTGATTGTACTCGGCGATTTCAACCTCGAAACAGATTGGGCAGAGGGAAAAGCCAAAAGTCCAGTGTCCTCTAAATTGACAACGTGAGAGAGACTACACGTGGAAGCTCAGTCCTAGACATAGTATTAGCAATGGTCCATTTATCTAGAATCTATGTGTTTGTTTGCCGTCCGCAGGCCCTGACCACAACGCAGTTGCCTTTGAATTCCTTATTTCCCTTCCGGAACACAGACAAATTCCTCTACCAAACTTCATGAAGACTGATTTCGTTGGGCTTTCGGAATACCTATCTGTAATCGACTGGTGGAGTGCGTTCGAGGGGTACTTGTCCGTGGACGACCTTCATAAGAGATTTCGTCGTATTCTTTACGCTGGATTTCAAATACGTCCATCTCGAACCTTTGCAGGCTCCGAAAGTGCAATACCCAAGGCATGTGAGGAACTTGATGAAACTCGACTTTTTTGCGTATTTCAGGACTCTCCCTTGTCAGTTTCCCCACTATAACGATCTTGTAAAGAACTTGATCATCATTTAAAGAAATTTCTAGCCAAGAAGGAAAGCGTATTGCTAATAATCCACAAAAGAGAATGTTTTTCACTCTGAAAAACAAAATGAAGCCGCAGACAAGCACACCACTGCTCTATGACCACTCCGGTTGCCAAATTTTGACTGATTCAAACAAAGGTACTCGCGAGTTTTTTTGCTTCAGTTTTCACTAGGCCAGAAGCTGGCTCAAACAACCAATCAACGTTTATCTCTCAAGCACTTTGCCCTTCTGATCTCGCAGTTACCTGTACAGAGTTCTGAAGTCATACGAAAGCTCTTGTTCTGTGCCGTTAAATGGTATTCCTCAGATTTACAAAAGTGTGCGTTTTTATTGCATAAGCCCATTTGTATGATCCTTAATGCATCTCTGTTTTATGAAATCCCTTCTGTATGGAAGGAGTCAATTAGAACTGCTATCCCTAAACATCCTAATGCCACTCTTGTATCATCGTATCGTCCCATAAGTATAACCACACCTGTGGTTAAAGTGCTGGAGAAAGTGATACGCGATAAGCTGCCAACGTACTTCAGCAAAAACAGGATGATCCCCATCGAACAGCATGGATTTGTGACTGGAGCTGTGACATGTACACTCATGTTAGACTGTGTGTTTGATTGGAGTATTTCCATAAATAAAGGGCAAGGCATTGACGTAATACACTTTGAGCTCTCCAAGGCTTTTGATAAAGTTGGTCATGACAAGCTTCTCCTCAAACTGTGTCATCTGGGTATCAGCGAACCCATTCTTGATTGGATTCGCTGCTATCTAAATGACAAACACATGTGTGTTAAAGTCGGAAACGCATTTTCGAACCGTTACTTTTGCACCAGTGGGTTCCCCAGGGAGGTGTATTGTCGCCTCTACTATTTCTGGTGTATACTCATGACTTACCTAGCTGTTTGACAACGCACCCGTCGGTAAAGATTCAAATATACGCTGACGAGTACGGCGTTTATACCGAAGACACTCACGAGTCTATTCACCAAGCATCAACTCAATCCATTCACGATATGATGAAGTGGGCTGAGGCTTGGGGATACCTGTGAATCTTGGGAAGACATCGGTGCTCCAATTTGGGAATGCTATCCAGGCTCCAGATTACTTCAACGGTGTTCTCTTAAAAAGCACTAGAAAAGTTCGTGACCTTGCAATACATATAAACTCGGAACTGGATTTCGATCGTCACATTAGTATTATTGTGAAAAAAGTTTTTGGGGCTATGTTAACGATTTTTAACAATATCCACTACAATGATGCGGCAACCTTTTTGAAACTTTACAAGGCTTACGTTGTCCCCATATGACTATGGGTCCCAAGCATGGAGTCCCAATACAAAAAGGTTGCAATAAAATAGAGAAGGTACAGCAAGCCTTCACGAAAATCCTTGTGCATCGCTGCGATCCTGATCCAGCTTACCGAGTTTGTATGCCCAGTTACAGAAAGCGTCTAAATAAACTTGGACTCAGAACACCTCTCTATAGGCGCGTTTTCAATGTCATAGTGTTTTGCTTCAAATTGCTGAAGGGTAAATTGAAGCTAAGACCGAGTAAGTGCTGGACGTTCAGGCTTTGTCGAGGGCGCTGCTTCAAGCTCTTTCTGCAATGCCCTATGCTAGAGAAAAAAAATACGTTAAGGTTTCTAGCCCTCTGTCTGCTTGTCCAGGTCCAGCCTATGTCTCTTGATTTTATCTTTTCAGTTAGCTACGCCCTCTAACTCGGTACTGCGCTTCAGTCACATCTCACAGCCCAGTAACAAAATGGAAAAGCCACGATCTCCTCCTTTGTTGAAATTTTCATGTTTAACCCCTTGTGTTTTGTTTCTTTTTGTTTTCTTTATTTTCACTAACTCATTGTGCAATCTTACATCTTACTCAAAGGCAGTTGGCACGATAAATCCCCCAAGACGACTAGGACCAATGCTCCTGGCAGGGTAGAATTGCGCGACCCTAGGCAGGCGCTGCATAGCGGTTTCGCTGAGGAAGGTGCCCTTATAAGGGCCCTATCAAGCCACAACATTACCGTCCCAAACGCCTGCCACGCCCGCGCCGCCCACAAATGCGACCGGGTTTCCTGAGCAGGCTCGTTTTGATCATTTGGGCTAAGGGGCATAAAGTTGTGAACGAAGGGGATTGGTATGACGGCGTGATGCTGTGCATGCATATATCGGGTACTCCGTAAATGGGCAGCCATGATCGTTCGTAGCGTGTGAAACTGGCCAAGGATGCTTATGGGAAACTCGGCCAAAATTCGCATTAGTCACTGAGAAGGAGGTCTTTTTCTTCGCAGGATTTTGACCTTTTCCCACTCGTTCTTATTCGCACGAATTTTTTCCACTTATAACGCCTACTAGCATTCTAGCCTAAGAAAACCAACGTGTGCCCAACTGCTTCAACACACATGGTACGCTCAACCACATTGGGGGTGTAATGAGACTATCAGGCCCCAGCTGTCGTCATTGTGTCGTCGGTTCCCGCCGCCCGAAAAGCTGCATGGGGGGTTCAGACGTCATCGGGACCGTGGTGAAAGTCTCATAATTCTTGCTATGCGGCGCCGTTTTTTGCAACTCTGTTTTTAGCATAACACCTGTTCGGCGGTCGCGTGAGCGCGTGTCACCTCTCTTGGCTTTTTGCCGGTCTCTGTGATATTGCGCTTTGGAATACATAGTACAACGCAATCTATTCTTTATGCGGGATACATGTTAGTGTTCCTGCCAAATAAGAACTGAAGATCGATGACGCATTGGGATAGAACTCAAGAGGCAACTGTGCTCGCTTCTGCAACAGCCATGAACAGAGCCGGCATTCCCAGCAAAACATCAAAATAAAACGGCCAAGCGTCCCACTGGCGTTTAATCCTGAAGTCTAAGACGCATTAAGAGCCGGCACTCGACCTTTAATTTATTGCGTTCCTCCTTTCCTTACTTTTTTCATAGTTTCTTGTTTTTTAACATCTACATTCATTGTTGTTCATTTCTAGCCGACCTGTCATCTTCATCGGCCTCTATTCGGCCTTTGAAGCATAGACCAATAACTTAAATGTCACGAAATTCTGGCGTTTTGCTACCGTATTGTCATGTTTTATTGTCCATGCTTGTCCGTTTTATTGTCATGGTTCGTGAGTGATGCGCGGCTTCTGACGAGGATATCTGGCAGAAGCACCACAGTTGCATCTTGAGTTCTAGCCGTTGTCATCATTTCGGTTTCTTATTTCTGCCGAGCACCCTAAAATTTATCCGCATAAAGGAATCTGCGTTTACTGTTATTCGTTCCAAGCGCATCTGCAGCATTGGCAAAAAGGCAGGAGAGCTGCACAGGCGGACCGCGTCTGGGCGGAAACCTGCTGGGCGCTCTTCTTCCTCATGTTGTTATTATACTGTTTAAGACAAGTTTAGCTGTATTAAGGTTAAGAGTTGTAGATCTCTTTCGTATTTGTTACAATCAAGTGCGTATAAGAAGCGCACCTTGGCATGAATTGATAATAAGTCTAAATAAATAAACATAATATTAACAATCTGATATATAATAAATAACACATCTATGGTGTTATATCTGCCTCAATGTCGAATTGGAAACGTAGCGAATTTCTGCTGATGTCTATATTGACTATGTTCTTGCTTTCTTGCTTTCTTAGTTACAAAGGTTGCGACATTTTGGCATTGGCTTCCTCTTAGGACGGTGGTGCTGCTTTTCGGTTTCTTGGAGGTCTGTTTGAGAAGTGGACAAGCGCTCCTGAATGTTGTCCTCCGCATTTGTAGCATTCCACTTTCTTTTCTGATCAGCGCGAATGTTGGCTTGTTTCCTTATTGGCGTTATTGGCTTTCAGAGCCGATTTCAACAATTCAACCAGGTGTGGGGGCCCAATAGTGCTAGAGAAAGCACTGTGCGGCAATGGCTCAACAAATTTCGTTCTGAAGATTTCAGCCTTGAAGATGAACCTCATAGCGGTCGACCTAAAGCAATATCTACGAGGATTTTAGGGGGTTTCGGAGGCTGACCCATCCCAAACAGTTCGAGAGATAGCAGAAGAGCTAGGCCTTGGCAAATTCACTGTTGCAAGTGCTCTGGAACGCATTGGGAAGGTGAAAAAACTCGACAATTGGGTGCCCCACAATCGGAGTGACCGGCAGGAATCGGCACGTCTCGAGGTTTCTCTTCCCTGCTTTTGCGCAACAAACGACCCGTTTGAACCGAATTCTCATCTGTGATGAAAAGTGGATCATTTATGATAACAGGAGACGTTCCGGACAGTTGTTGGATTCCGGCGAACCACCGAGGTAATTTTCAAAGCCGAACCCTCACGAAAAAAGATTCTGGTCACAGTTTGGTGGTCATCGGCTGGTGTGATCACTATACTTTTCATCACCAGGCGAAACCATTACAGCAGAACCCTACTGTGAAGGAATCGACGAAAGTATCGAAAATTTTGTCAGATGCAGCCAATACTTATCAAAAGAAAGGGTCCGGTTGTTTTGCATGACAACGCCCGCCCAAACGTTTCACAAATCACTATCTATAAATTAAACGCATTGGGGGTTGAAGTTCTACCTCGACCGCCATATTCTTCAGACCTTTCGCCAACCGACTATCACCTTTTCTAACTTTTTCAGAACTCCCTTGCTGGAAACTACTTCATCAATCAGGACCAAGCAAAAAAGCCTTAGTGGATTTCGTGAATTTTCGACCACCCAGTTTTTTTTATTTTGATGGGATTTCTCGACTGCTGTCACATTGGCAAAAAAATGCTGATTCGAAGCCTATTTCGACTAAATCCGATGAGTATTAAAAAAGTTGTGATCGTTTAAAGTGAAAACCCAAAACGCTGAGAACTTTGCGGACAACCGAATACTAGCTGTGTTGCCGTTAAGAAACGCGTGGTATCACCTCCTCTTCTCGCGAACCGTTTCTTTGACATTGTCGGTCCATAACCACGGCTGCTTATCAATTCCACGCCTTCCAGGCTTCGTGATACCGAGTTCGGAACGAGCGGCCTCATGTTTCGCCTTAGCAGCACTCTTACAGATCTTCGACAGTCGTGACGGTGGGAATACGAGAGATTACAGTTGCCCCCTTTTCTTTCAAACGCCACCATTTGATCCTCTCGGGACCACATCGCTCGACCCGTTTGGACCTGAGCGTTGCAATCTTTAGCGTCAAAATAGTGGGCGATGTTGCGTGGCAACTGTCTCGTACGGCACAGTCTTCACATCCGTGATGAGCCCTTGGTCGCGGTGTCTAACGAGAACGAAGTCGATTTGGGTCTGGAACCTCCACTATAGAAGCTGATCAGGTGGGAGTCACGCTTACGAAACCTTGTATTTACGATGACTAGGTTATGGGCTTCGGCATACTCGAGGATTCGCTCCCCATCAGCATTACGTGATCCATAACCGAAACCACCATGACAACTGTAGCCGTCTTTCGTAGCGCCTAAGTGCCCATTTAGGTCACCGGCAACAATTACGACGTTTTGACAGTATCTCAGTTATCTTCTCTTTAAGTAGGGACCAGAACTCGTCCTTGGCTCGCTCGGAGCATCCCGTTTGTGGAGCGTAGGCACAAGACAAGTGGTACAGCCGCTGTTCGATAGCAACCACGATCTTCATCAGGGTCATCGAAGCGTTCTACGCTTGCTATCGAGTCCCGGAAACGTTGGGAGACTAGTACAGCCACTCCGTTTGTGGTTTTCGGTTTGCCACATGGAAGGGCTTTGAAGCCTCGACCAATGTCCCTCGATTTGCAGATGGACCATCTCGTTTCCTGCAAAGCACACAAGTCTATACGTCTGCGCTACAGTGCCTCTGCCAGCTCACATGAGCGCAACGTCAACGTCCCAACATTCAACGTTTCTACGCGGATCTTTTCAACGTTACAGGAATTCTGGACTAGCCTGGTTGCCCTCCGATGCCGTCCTTGCATCAGGGACCCTCGCATACTTTTCACACTCGCCGGGCCATACGAGTGTGCGTCGGCTCCCGCGGACGTCGTAGGATCATATGGCATACTGAACATTGGTGATGTGACTTGGGTGTGCGTAGGCCGGCCCGTCACGAAGGCCTGTCACCTGCATTCGAGTGTCCGCGTTCGGCTCAGCCTGCAGAAGCGGGCAGTTCCCAGTGGCACCACGTGGAGGATCGGACTTGACCACCTAACAGTTAAAAGTACTGAAGGTCATATTTACCGAATTAACTTCCCTATAGATGGGCATCAATAGAGCCCAATTACAGGGAGTTCATGGCGCAGAACACATTCAACCTTCAAGTAAACAGAGCCTAGAATTTCTTGGGATACCTTCCATGATGAAAACA